TCAGCGCTGGTCCATAAATAGCTATAAAATAGCAGTATGACCAAGTCGTCAACCAATCGACCCTGCTGTTTACCTGATTAGTCCCAAAACTGACTACGCACAACTGGTGATGAAGAACACACGTATGAATTTGTGGTCATGAATTAATTTCATTTAGCTATTCTGAAAAGAAATACATATGTATTGTTACACTGTCGTAACCTCGTCACCAGGTAATATGATAATTGACTTTTCCACGTCCTAGATGTGACAGTTACGCTGTCTGTCTGTCTGTCTGTCTGTCTGTCTGTTCAGGTGAATGTGGTGGCACTTGTCAAACCAGTACTTAGCTTCGTAACTATAAAGTTTTCCGATGAAAAAAGTTTCCCGGCGAACAAGTAGATCGAGGGTTTGGTGAAGAGTACATCCAACATTATCATGCATTTAAAAAATGCCCATATGGCAGTATTTGTGTGTGAAAAATTTTGGAATATCTAACACAGGTATTGATCCTACTTGTAGAGCTATCAGACGACATGGTTTCGTCTTTTGTTTTACAAATGTGTACAAGTGCATATTAACAGCGGATGCACGACGTTAGTGTTCCTACGGTGTAATTCTCTTCCTTCCGTCATAGTTCCTGGCTGTCTCTTTATTGATCGCAGATCAAGTGATCCAGATTATTTAGACCGTCAATTCAGTCTAAAATTAACGAGGATACCGAAACAATTAAAAAAACGTTATAAAAAAGTCAGTCAGTAACAGAAAGAGATGTTCCCCGGCAGAGAATGTTTTGTGACCTTATAAAATATCGGTCAGTTACAGAAAGAGGTAATTCACGGCGGAATGTTTCGTGACGCCATAAAAAACATGTTAGTAAAAGAAAGAGATAATTCACGGCGGAATGTTTCGTGACGCCATAAACAACATGTTAGTAAAAGAAAGTGATAATTCACGGCGGAATGTTTCCTGACTTTATAAATTTTTGTTTGTTTTGTAACTAGTAATATGTTTATTAAAACTGGAACATTTTTACAAAGTAACTTGAATATCACATTTCCAACCGAGTCATTTTGTTCGCAAATATTTTTTTGGTCAAAAACAACAAAATCTTCGTACGACTTCGATGTAGTACTACTTTGTAGGAGATTGTTAAATATCTGTAAACTGTTATTGACTGATGGTAGCCATTTATTGTCACTTCTGATTCATCAGATGTCTAGCTGTGTCACTAATTAATAAGAAAAAACTTAACACACTAGCTGTGTACCGTTACATTTAGATAATGTTTCCCCGGCGGAAACCACTCTTCCAATACGATACGAATGATATATTTATTCTACCTTAAAAGTCTGTTAGGACCTTATCAATACTTTATCGATTTTATTAATAAAGATCCTTTTTTGGACCTAGGCGTGTTATCTGATAAGTAAACAGACGTATGAACAGCCAAGCAGGTCTGCTTCTCTCTTTGTGTTTGATACAAAGAACCTCGAGTGTTTTGATGAACATTAATCTTTAGTTATTTGTGACATTTTTCTTCTTTGATTCACTCCATAAAAAGTCACGGCTAATATTTTCTTCCAAGGCTATTGATGATTAAATCGGTCTTGAATGGCATCTATAGTTACCTAGTGTTGTCTGGAAAATACAGAATTAATTATATAGCGCTGTTATACCAAATACTGAATGACCTACAAATATCAAAATATGAAATAGGATTGAAAATTAATTAAAACTTATATTAGATATACATCTTTTTCATTCCAACTTTATGTATTTATTATTAAAGAATGTGTCATTAATTCAGGTAGATTTCTTGCTACATGAGTACTTCCTCTGATGACGTAAATGGACCCACGGGTCATATAAGGTCACACGCTTTTTCTAGCTCTAAAACATTTGACTGATCCGTGATGATCTTTTCCTAATTAATTTCAGAGGAAATTCTAATTAATTCTTTGACATTTGATTACTTGTTATTTTCAAAGTATCGATGAACCCATAATTACTTGTGGCACGTGTATATTGTCGTAAGATACCTGCTACATTCATGTTTTGCTCTGTTCGTTCATTACATTTGTAATTCGTTTCAAATATGTTCAAAATTAGAAAAAAAGAGTATCACCTTTCAAAAAAAATTCCTGTTAAAATAAGCAATTTTGTCTGTTGTAACGAACAAATTTATTTACAAATCTCTTTTTTAATTTAAAAATCATAAAAATTACTACAATCATAATCGTTGAAATTTAGGCATACATCGCCTAGCTAGATTCAGCGTGGCGTCTAAATAAGCATACAAACATGTATCTGAATTTTCAGTCAATACTTCGCGAGAAAAAACACGTGGTCAGTGCATGTCTTGAATTATAAGCCGCATTTTATGTCGGGACAGAAAAAAATGACTCGCCAACGAGAGACGTTTGTATTTCTTAAATCTCGCCAAAATATACAACCTTTTTAAACAACAAATTGCAATACACTGGCCTTGTTTTCTCCAATAGCTCATATGAAAGTCCACACTTTATTCACTATCTTGGTGAAAATTATTTTCTTTTGTTTATTTCTATTCTACATTTGACGTGTACGTATCTTTAAAGCATCATAATATGATCTGTTTATCTAATTTATATGCATATGTTTTTTTTTTTAATTTCTTTGCAGGATATTTCCTCTTTGGTCAGAATGTGACTTTGCCTGACCTGACTGGCCAATGACGTCAAACAACGCTACATTTACGGAGGAGACAACTGGTCACGTGTCACTGCTTTGGTTACCGCACGCTCTTATTGCGTTCGGGTTTATAAGCTTTCTGGGAATTAATTTTTATTGTTATCATAAGAAGTATAAAGAAAGATATCGACGGAAACTTGAAGTGACTAAAACGCGTGAAAAGATGAAAGAACGACGGAGAATTCTGAACTTAATTCGACTACGTTGTATTGTGAATGCGGAAGTGGCACAGAATGGTGGCGCACGTTCGGATCATTCGTCTGTCAATTCGCATGCTCATCCGTGCGGATCTACTATTGTTGAATGTGACCAATATGGACATGAAAAGTGTAGTTCGGTTTGATAATCGAACCGGTACGCGTAACAGTGGGGGATACTTGAGAGGATGTGGTCGTGAGTTTAATATATAACAATAGGAGAATTACGGCACTTTCTGTAAACGAGACGGAAAGTGCCGAAAGTTCCCTATTGACAATTTTATCATTTTATCGGAATGCCTTCATGACACAAATAGGACAAAATGATTAATGAAGTTAATACGGCACGCAAAATAAGAACACCTTTAATGGTATGTGATTGAGAATTTGCCATCGCCTTTTCGTACCGTAGGAACTGACAGTTTTCTGATATTGGTACAGTATACAGAAGTCCTGATTTTAGGCAATCCCGTTATATCTATCACAGATAAAACTTTGTTATCAGTGAATAACATCTATTGCATATTTTTAAAATTATTATACTTGCCTGGTTAAGCTGGGGGTTCCAATTGTTTCCACTATGACGTCATAACTTCATGGCGTCATATGCATTATGACATAAAAAAAAAGTTTAAATGTTTGCAAAACTAAATTATGTGATAAATAATAAATAACTTAAGTTTTGCATATGAGATTTCTGAAACTTATCACGATTTTTTTTGCATTTTACACGGACATGTACCTTACCAGTAAATAAACAAATAAAAATAAAATCCAAGACTAGTTTTATATTATTATCTGAATGGACACTCAGTATAAACTATAAACTTTATTTACTTTACATCAATTGCGATACAAGTTATTTCAAGTTATACTTGGCCAGAAGAGCTAAAAAAAGGTTGATAAAAACTCATTATAATAATTCAGACTACCATTATGAAATGGACCAATGTAATTAACACCTTATGTTAATGCCTTATTTTTATTGGTTCTTTATGAAACATCACTATCACCTTGTGCAGTTTCATGCTAAACGTCTGGCGAGTGCGTTACCACTGCGCCACCCGACCACCCTAGACTGTACTCTAATCGTATGTACACTAATATGTCAGTTACATTAGTTAAAATGTCTTGTGGTCCTAAAATTTTAACTTAACATTTTAAAGAAGTTGATAAAGCTTTAATTAGCATGGAAAATTTAAGTGAATTCGCTCGGCCATTTTTTTTAACTTTTCACCAAGAAACTATACTGCATATGATATAATAACTTGGAAACTATCGACATATCATGAATGGGTTGGTACTTTATGTAATGCAATTTTATTTATATCCATATAAAGTCTAAATAGACATTTTCCAACATCGGGGTCTAACAGGCCGATTAGCGTGATACATAAAAAGCAGTTAATTTTTGTTTTCAATAATCAGTGGTAAATATTTGTTTAAATTCAATTTTGTAGTTTTACTTTATTAGTCAATATAGTGAATGACCAGTTTCCAGATGTATAGCTTAATCAGAAGTTTTCATAACACAAGTTTTGAAAGGGAACCAACATCTGTACTATCCTTGATGAGTATAGTAAGACCTGCTGAAGTCTGAAAAGCTAAATCCTATGAGGTAAGGAGTATGTGTGTGAAAAGCCATGTCTGACAGATTTGTATCTAAGTCCATAGCTATATATCTATACACATTCTGAAAACAACCAGACACATTATTTCACAACTTAATTGTCATGTACTCAAGGTAGATCTGAGTTCATAAAAATATGTAATCAGGACGACTCCGGCTGGAAAAGGTGTCCGGATTATTAGCGGTCCATTGTATACTATTGTTTGAGTGTTTTATCAAATTTTAAACACCTGTGACCATGAGTATGGCCTAAGGTTTGTGCTTTTCACTAACTTTGGCTATAAGTCACCCCAGGAACCTACAAACTAAATATCACGATTTTAGTCCTTTCGGTTAATCATAAGAAGTAGCTTAAAAGTACAACAAACTTGACATCTGTGACCTTAGATACAGGTCAAGGTCATCTGCAAGAAAAAAGGTATGGTGCACCTATAGAGGCAGATATGCTACTAAGTCTGATACAGTATACTGTAAATTGTTTATTTTTCAAAGGATTTCAATTTTGTGGTTTTCAAATCAATAAATATTTTTTCATAGGCACTTGATTACATGAATGAATTACAAGTGCTCACAAAATCCACTGGCCCTTAAGAATTTGAATTCCCAATCATATTGTGAAAAGGAATTGGCTTATTGAAAGTATAATAAACCATAAACAAAAACCCTGTTACAGACAAGACAATGATTGTACAGTAATCATTCTCCCTAAAATTTAAATCGACTGGTAACAGGCAGGTGATCAGATGGGAAATGATCATCTGGAGGAAGTGTCCCTGTCCATTTTTCAGCCTCTGGAATGTCCACCACAGACAGGCAAGTTAGTGGTTTTCCTGAAGACTTACTTCCATAAAAGATGTAGTCAAAAGTGAATGGAACGGCATTATCAAAGTGTGTCAGGGGCGGCTCTTTACCCTGAAAAAAAAACCCACCAAAGTTAGTACAGGGTAATGTGAGTGTCATAGGCACTGCTGTACTTTGTAAATTTAACATCACAAAAATTAGTGTCACTAATAGGCTGTTCAAGAACCTGAAAATAAAGCACCCCAAAAAACTGTCAGTAGGGTATCAGCTGATTCCATACCCTGAAAAAAAAACCACATAAAAACTCCCAAAAATCAGTCATCAGTGTGTTTAAAGAGGTTATTTACCTGAAAATAAAAAACCCACAAAAATTAGTTATAGGTGTGTCAAAGACGGTTCTTTAACTTAAAAACTAACCATGTGTAAAGTGTCATATAAACAGAGTGTGTGAAGGCTGTTCATTACCCTGAAAAGAAAAAGCAACGAAGATGTCATTTTACTGTCAGTGTGTCACAGGTGTCTTCTTTTCTTTGAAATATCACAAGACAAATGTCATATCCTATCGTTGTATGTCAAATTCTGTTCTTTACCCTGTAAATGAAATACCATGAAAATGTGACGACATCTGTAAACATCAAACCTAATAACAGGCCAAATAGGCCTAAATCGATAAGCTGTTTCCAACTTATAAAGGGAAGCAATTGTTGTACTGTCTTGTATACAGCAACATCCATGTTAATAATGAAACACTTACAAAATAATTTTCAATATTTCACAGATATCATTTATCACAATCCTGGCCCCACTTGTATAAAACATCTCAACTTGAGATTTCCTCAAGTCGAGATTTTCCTCAGCTGATATCTCCTCAAAAACGGCTTGTATAAAATTTTCTCAAGGAACAGGAGGAAGGCATCGGCTAGGATGTCCTGAAATTCCTTGAGGAATTTTCATACAAAATATTTTCAAGGAGATATCAGCTGAGGAAAATCTCGACTTGAGGAAATCTCAAGTTGAGATGTTTTATACAAGTGGGGCCATGGCAGTTTATTATTCAGGTTGAACATCTCTACAGGTTGTACATATTACCCTTGTGACATTTGAATTGGGTTAAGGTCATTTCTTTGAACAAAACTGCCCCTTAAAAGGTGAAATATTATGGTCTTGGTCATCTTGGTTATTTAGAACAGGTTTTTTTTCAGGTTTCAAATTTTTATCCTTATGATTTTTGAAAGACCCATTTAAGTGTCAAGGTCATACATTAAACACGAGATTGGGTGAATATTGTCACCAATCTTTGTCAGATCTTTGTTCTTTAAAATGTGGATCATTTATTTTCTTTTCTCTTCTTTCCTCTGTTTTTGCTTTTCAAATTATATGAGATTTTAAAAATTTTTCAAGAAATAGTGAAAAACATCATTACCTAATCCAAGATGGTAACTGTCAGCCATTTTTTGCTTTTCTAATCAGTTCCAAAATCAAATGGGCAAATTGAGAGACCAAGGGTAACATACATATGAAATATGAGAAAGATCCATGCTGTACTTCTCAAGATTTCGCATTAACAAAAATTATTTACAGACAATTGGACAGGTGACCGACCAAGAATGGACATAAGGTGACTGACCAAGAATGGACATAAAGCGACTGACCAAGAATGGACATAAGGCGACTGATTATCCCACCATCTGACAATGAGGCCTTATCCGGTAATCTCGCCTTAATAATGAGCAAATACCATGACTCAGGATTTAGGGTTTTTTGAAAGTCATTGCAACACTGATATGTAGTGTCCATATTAACAAAACCTCTATATGTTTGTAGATATTATTGAAGAAGGTTCATACATGTGGACATGGTCAAAGAAAATTTCACAAGTAATTGAATACTGACCACACAGGTCTTATAAGCACTCTGTAATGGTAGGTCATCTGCCGGAAAACTTTGAATCAGTCTTTTGAAGACAGGAAGCAGCTGGAACATAAACAAATTAAATATCATGGTTTTCATAAAAATGCTTATCATGTACTTATATACATAATAATGTGAAAAAGATCTTATTTATGTACATAATTCTTTGGTTCCTCACAGCACAAAACCCCTATACTACTGCAAAGTCATTAAATTTTGAGGGGGATTTACTGTCACTTAAGTACACATATCCTCTCCTTCTCCTTCAAGAATCTTTCAAATTCTCATAAAATTTGATCAAAATATATCAATATATTCAGAAGGAACAGTTTTTTAAAGAGAAACTCCTGTACAACTGGTCCAGATTCATTCACACCAAAAATTTCACCATGGCATAAACTCATACAATGTAGGTCCTTAAGACCAGATGAACTAATTATGTAAATCATGGATGGTTTCAGTTTAGAAAACCAACAAACTAGGTAAGATACACAATCTTCATAGATATTTAATGCACAAAATGAATTAGAAAATTTCATTTAGCAAGAAATTCCCAAAGGGTTCATTGTTTCATCTATGTTTGTTTCAAAGTTAGATCCTTTAAATACTTTTCTCTTTTTTTTGTTTTTGATCTTTATGATATAAAATTTGAAAATTTCCTTATAAAAATTGTGATTATAATCTTTCACTGTCAAATCCAAAATGGTCTCCCATCAGTAATATTGCTATTTTTTCTGTCCAGTCCCAAAATCAAAAGGACACAACTATGGACCGAGAGGAACCTTTATATCAAATCTGAGGATAATCCATCCAGAATTTCTCACAAAATGGAGGTAACAGTCTCTTGTATTAAAATTTCTGTAAGCAATTTTGTTTTTCTGAGCAATCCAAAAATCAATCGGGCAAAACAAAGAACAAGAGGGAAACAACAGATGTAGATAGGAAATGTGCAAAAGATTCATCCAATGCTTCTTGAGAAATTACCATAACAAATTACAGCTGTCAAAAACTAAGATGGTCTCCTGTTGGTCATCTTGTTTCTCAGATCAGTCTCTAAATGGACATGCTATATGCAAGTAAGGACCAAGGTGAACCTGTTATGAAATTTGAGAAAGACCCATTAAACACTTCTCCAGAAAAAGTAATAACAATTTATTACTGCCAAAATCCAAGATGGCCGTCTGTCAGCATATTATTTTCATATTAGTCTCTTTGTCAGGTAATCCACAACTAGGGACCAAGAGGGCCCGACATAAAATTAAAAAATCGTCCATTCAGTACATCTCAAGAAATTGAGTAAGTACATGTATTGTTTCAGGCCAGATGGACACCAGACCACAGAATTTGAACACCCTACCATCTGATGAATGGACTGTACATTGAATTCTTTTCTAAACATTTAAATCAGTCACTAACCTTCTGGCCATCAAATGCTGGAATCAGTGTCTTTTCAAAATCATACCCAGCATGTTTGCCCTGAGACAGAATGTAGGCTAGTGATTGAGGCACGGAGTTGAAGTCACCGCAGTATACACAGCAGTTTGGTGTGTCACCTAAATACTGAGAGAGGGCGAACTTTGAGCACCTACACTGCAACAAAATATATTTGAATCAATAAAAAGATGAAGATTGAAAAACAGATTTGAACAATAATGAGACAAGTGAAACCAGAACTAGATATCTACACAAAAGGGACTGGTTACATTGTGATACATATCATTTACACAATTAAAACAGGGGTGACAAATTAGAAAAACTACACTACTGGGACATAACATCTACACTACTGGGACATAACATCTATACTACTGGGACATAACATCTACACTACTGGGATATAACATATACACTACAGGGACATAACATCTACACTACTGGGACATAACATCTACACTACTGGGACACAACATCAACACTACTGGGACATAACATCTACACTACTGGGACATAACATATACACTACAGGGACATAACATATACATTAGTGGGACAAAACATCTACACTACAGGGACATCACATATTCATTACCGGGACAAAACATCCACACTACAGGGACAAAACATCTACACTACAGGGACATCACATATTCATTACTGGGACATAACATCTACACTATAGGTACATAACATCTACACTACTGGGACATAACATCTACACTACTGGGACATAAGATCTACATTACTGGGACATAACATCTACACTACAGGGACATAACATCTACACTATAGGTACATAACATCTACACTACTGGGACATAACATCTACATTATTGGGACATAACATGTACACTACTGGGACATAACATATACATTACTGGGACAAAACATCTACACTATTGGGACATAACATATACACTACTGGGACATAACATCTACACTACAGAAACATATCATCCACACTACTGGGACATTACATCTACACTATAGGGACATAACATATACACTACTGGGACATAACATCTACACTATTGGGACATAACATATACACTACTGGGACATAACATCTACACTACAGGTACATAACAGCTACACTACTGGGACATAACATCTACACTACTGGGACATAACATCTACACTACAGGGACATAATATCTACACTACTGGGACATAACATATACATTACAGGGAGATAACATATATGTTACTGGGACATAACATCTACACTACAGGGACAAAACATCTACGCAACTGGGACATAACATCTACACTACAGGGACATAACATCTACACTACTGGGACATAACATCTACACTACTGGGACACAACATCAACACTACAGGGACATAACATATACACTACAGGGACATAACATATACATTAGTGGGACAAAACATCTACACTACAGGGACATAACATCTACACTACAGGGACATCACATATTCATTACCGGGACAAAACATCCACACTACAGGGACAAAACATCTACACTACAGGGACATCACATATTCATTACTGGGACATAACATCTACACTATAGGTACATAACATCTACACTACTGGGACATAACATCTACACTACTGGGACATAATATCTACATTACTGGGACATAACATCTACACTACAGGGACATAACATCTACACTATAGGTACATAACATCTACACTACTGGGACATAACATCTACATTATTGGGACATAACATATACATTACTGGGACAAAACATCTACACTATTGGGACATAACATATACACTACTGGGACATAACATCTAAACTACTGGGACATAACATCTACACTACAGAAACATATCATCCACACTACTGGGACATTACATCTACACTACAGGGACATAACATATACACTACTGGGACATAACATCTACACTACAGGGACATAACATATACACTACTGGGACATAACATCTACACTACAGGGACATAACATCTACACTACTGGGACATAACATCTACACTACTGGGACATAACATCTACACTACAGGGACATAACATCTACACTACTGGGACATAACATATACATTACAGGGAGATAACATATATGTTACTGGGACATAACATCTACACTACAGGGACAAAACATATACGCAACTGGGACATAACATCTACACTACTGGGACATAACATCTACACTACAGGGACATAATATCTACATTACTGGGACATAACATCTACACTACAGGGACATAACATCTACACTACTGGGACATAACATCTACACTACAGGGACATAACATATACATAAACTGGTGAGACAGGGACACAGCATCTACACCCCTTTGAGAGGCTTGTCAGGGACACAACCTTTACACTATTAGGACAGGTGAGACAGGGACACAACCTCTACACAATTGGAACGGGTGAGATAGTGTTAAATCTATGCAAAAACTCTATGCACTATTGGGACAGGTGAGACAGGGACACAACCTCTACACAATTGGAATGAGGGAGATAGTGCTAAATCTATGCAACAACCCTATGCACTATTGGGACAGGTGAGACAGGGACACAACCTCTACACAATTGGGATGAGTGAGACTGGGATACAACATCTGTATTACCTGTGCAGGCTAACTCACCTGGAGTGCTCTTACATCAGTGAGAGGTTCAGATCCCCAGATGATGTGTGTATTTGCCACCACCACCACTTCTCTGGTCAACACTGACCGCAGTTTGGTCACCAACAGTACATCTGGTCGGTCAACGTAGCGAGTTTTCAACATCGTAGATAGTTCTGGGTCATCACTATTATCCAAATTATCTAAAATCTTCAAATAACAACAAGGATCAAATGTTGATTTGATACATATTTCAAATTATATATACATATTTTAAACAATTATATCCTTGTAATTCAAATGTCAAATTTCAACACTGTATAACCTGCTCCCTCTAAGTGCATAGTAGATGTTATGATATTACTTTTTCACAGGTATCTACATGTACATATTACAAAATATTTATGAAAGAAATTCTCTCACACAAGCTGATGACACAACAATCAATACCTGCTTACAAGGGCAGATAACTCTGCATTACAAAAAAAAAATGGAATATTCTTAGTTTAAGTACATTGACATTTCCTTTAATTGTATGATTACTTTAACAGGTTAAACAATTAGTGTTACAATTGTATTTACAACATTATTACCTTGCCTGCTTCATCACCAAGGTAAAACACAGCTTTGTCTTCAAGAGCAAATTTTGCTTCCTTCCAGAATGTTGCGCATCCTTCATCATAATAATCGCTGTCTTCCTTTCTCCTGACAAATAAACCTGTATATCCTAACCTGTGTAAATAAACAGGTGAGTAATTATATATTATATAAAAAAACAATGTGTTTACACCAACCTGTGTAAATAAACAGGTGAGTAATTATATATTATATAAAAAAACAATGTGTTTACACCAACCTGTGTAAATAAACAGGTGAGTAATTATATATTATATAAAAAAACAATGTGTTTACACCAACCTGTGTAAATAAACAGGTGAGTAATTATATATTATATAAAAAAACAATGTGTTTACACCAACCTGTGTAAATAAACAGGTGAGTAATTATATATTATATAAAAAAAACAATGTGTTTACACCAACCTGTGTAAATAAACAGGTGAGTAATTATATATTATATAAAAAAACAATGTGTTTACACCAACCTGTGTAAATAAACAGGTGAGTAATTAAATATTATATAAAAAAACAATGTGTTTACACCAACCTGTGTAAATAAACAGGTGAGTAATTAAATATTATATAAAAAAACAATGTGTTTACACCAACCTGTGTAAATAAACAGGTGAGTAATTATATATTATATAAATTAACACACATGTGTTTATACCAACCTGTGTAAATAAACAGGCGAGTAATTATATATTATATAAATAAACAACATGCTATACCAGCTTGTGTAAATAAACAGATAAATAATATATTTTATTAATAAACAATGTGTTTATACCAACCTATGTAAATAAACACACATGCACGCTATATATTGATGTAAATATATTGCCAACTTCCTAACATTGTCTGCTATCCAAACAGACAAACTCGATATCTCAACTTATATAAATAAACAGTTTAATTCTTGTTGGCCCCTGGAAGCATGTGTTGGCTATTACTACAGCAGGAAACCAGATTACACAGGAAAAACCATGTAGCTGATCCCATACCTTTTCACACTCAGTTGAGGAATTTAATTTCAGATGACTAGGTGCAAGGCGCGCCTCTCACCACTTCAGTACCTGACACAAAATTTTCTGTTATATCAATGATATGTAAATAAAAAGTTTAAATAAATCATTGGTTGTATAAATAAATGAACACAATTGTCCATTTCTTCCTAACAAAATCAAAAATGTATATCCCTACCTGTATTAATAAACAGGTAAATACAATGTTATATACGTCTGTACCATCCAGTACTGTCAATAAACAGGTGTAAGGAAAAGTGTATGTTATATTAACAAACACATCTGTATATCCGGAAACCTGTTAAAATTTATGTTATGTACATGTAAATAAAAACAGTAGTATATCTCAACCTTATGTAAATAAGTAAATAATTGTAGACGTACCGGTAGGTGATATAGATAAACACATCCGTGTATCACAATTTGTGTAAATATACAGGTAAATATTTGTAGGTAATACCTCTCTCGATATGTATATGTGTATATGCACCATTAGGAGTTAAGGACATGTGTTAACTGCAGTGCCTGTATCAGAGTATTAAAAAGCATGTAGGTATTGATTATATCTATAATTTAGTAAATACATGAAGGACCTGTATACGGTAATTGTGTTTCAACACATCCTTGTACTTTGAGCTCTGCTCTGTCAATGCACACTTTCAGATATTCAATAAAATTTTGAAATGTCATCAAAAAGAATTATTCATTATATTGTATTATGAAATTAACAACACACTAGTATAGTTTTCTTTAACAATTAAATCAACATTGTACCTATTCATCTCTGTCTCAAGTGTCTCCTTCCAATATGCTGGTCCAACCTCTTGAAAGCAGATAATGTCATTATTAAGATGTGCGATCTCCTTCATTCGGATGTTATGACGATAGGAGAGTTCTAGAGTTATTGGGTCTGCCTTTGTATAACTGTAGTCCCAGCGTTGAACATGACAGGCAGCTAGTAAATTATAAGTTAACACAGAGAATTCATCACCAGCACCACCAACCCCATCTTCTTTTGTAAACGTCCTTCTGTCTTGAAAACTTTTTGGAATTGACATCTTGAACACAACCTAAAAAAAAAAATCTGATGTTCTTAAGACTGTTTGATTAATTATTATTTTCGCAAAAAAAACAATATAAAAACTCTACTTAGTATAAATAATTTATCTTCTTGATTGAAAAAAGAAAATGTGAAAGAAAAGTATTTTATGCAAACATGCATGATCAATACAAATTTCTATTTTTAGAATATCAAATAGTATTTTAGTTGTTCTATCTGGATCAATTTTAAAAAACATATCTCTGTAGTTATTGATAAAATGCTTATTAACTGTTTACTATTGAAGAAAACCTGATAAATAGGTTGGTACTATTTAAGTCCTTAGCCTCTGTCAATTGACAATGATTTAGAATGCTATTCTATAACTAAGTTCATACACAAGTACACCACTGCAGGTACATTATGTGACCATCTTCACAGAAGGCACATGTGTTGACACGAAGAAATCATCTGCTACATTTTTTTTAAATATATAAAACACCAAAGCCAAATCTACATTAAAAAATATTTAGAAAAAACATAATATTGATTACATTTTTAAAGTAGTGTGTTTGTTTTATTGTTTTGGTAATTATAAGCTCTCAAGCTCTCTGATTTGATTATACCCTGTCCCAATCGGCTCTTGAAATCAGTCAGTAGGCTGAGTAGTCGTTTTATCATGTGTTTTTTCTTTAATATTTGTAAGCCGATGATTATTTGTTAGAATGTTTCCATGTTAGATATTTAAAAGGCTTTACTGTTATTTATTTTTAATGAATCCCCCTTGATATGTCCGGATGATGCCGTTTCCGGATTCGTTTCCCTTATTAGTGACAAACAAGCAACTGTCGCCTGCGAACATAAACAGCTAAGCTCGGATATCTATGAATATTAGAAAATTGATGTTATAATATTGATTAAATGATTTATTCAAAATATTCTTCTTTGTGTTTGTTTATTTTAAAGAAAGGGCTGATATCAAGACAGTCAGGTTGATAAGGCGTGTGATATCAAAATGGTCGTAAAATAATCTTTACACAAGGTCTAGGGGAGACAACTCGCTCTCTAATTCACAAGTAAAATCGAAAATAGAAAATTAAATTTTATTCTGACAACTGTACCCTTGATCGTTTACCATTGCATTGCCCGCGTGATCCCTTTTTTTCAAAAGTCTACGCATAGTCTACTTACTGGTGTTGAAAGACTATAAGCTATGTATAGTTTCTTCCTTCCTCCTCCATGGAAACCGTTCGGCTTCCGATCACTGGCCGGCCTGGCAAACACAAGCTAATTCTAATTAGCAAAAGCTAAGGTACTCCAACGTTCGACGCAATGTCTTCCGGACGTTTTTACATCTAATCACTGTTTGTTTACGCACAAGGTAGTAAATCCCAGACTCACAGTAACATAGATCGATAAAGTTTGACCTCACAGAAACGGGGAGTGTTGTTTGCAATGCTGAGCCGAAGGGAATTAACTCTTACAGTATAATGAAGCACAATTTTATTGATTAAAAATACGCTGTGATACTAACAGAGAAGTATGATAGTGCATTTTACGTACCTGATCTAGCCGATGCCTTATACACGTATAGAAGAGGCTTATACGTCACTGTCGTAGTAAAAAAATAAAACAAGCATAAAAATAGCGGGTGTATCAGGTAGGTCGTGTCTCTTCGATTTTTTCTGCACTATAATATTCAGTTTAGTATTCCGCAGTGACAGGATTCATATTCTGGTGTGTAACCATCCAACCGGTCCAATCAATTGTTAATTGTGGTTTAAATCTCTGCTGAATTAAATGCATGTTATTAGCATATCGCTTGTATGTGTTGCTACACGTACTTGTGTATACATGTATATTATGTTATACATTATGGTGATGTAAAGCGGTTTTTAATTAGATATTTTTTCATTGTTTAATTCCCGATAGACGATGTAATGTACAATAGAGAATACACGGCCAGTGTCTTAAAATATATGCTGTATTTTAGCGTGCCACTTTTGTGTTTCTGTGCCGAGCCAAAATTGGGTATATTTTTAAGACAACATAGGTTGAAAATCAGACAATTGAAACTTAAAAAAATTGTTGTTCTGTCTGTGTTTACCCTACATTGACGTCACGTTGAATTTTGCCTGATGACGGACGCCAAAATAATTGCTCCACGTGGAAACGTACTTCCAAACTATATCGGATATAATACCGATTTTATGAATAAATCAACTTGTTCAATAAAATATTTAAAACTGTTTAATTCAACAACTCTTTATATTTCTAAACTCAATATTTAAGTAAATTCCGCCTGAGAGTAATTCTGTCGAATTACCGCACGTGCTAAAATACAGCTGTACTTCTCTGTATCCTTCATACTCTACCCTGTACCCTGTACCCCTATCCTTTCCCTGTATCCTTCAATCTCTACACTGAATCCTCTACCCCTACCCCTAACCTCTACCCTCTATCCCTTCCCTGTAACCTTCATACTCTACCCTGTACCCCTAACCTCCACCCCTATCCCTTCCCTGTATCCTTCATACTCTACCCTGTACCCTTAACCTCTACCCTAACCTTTGCTCTCTATCCCTTCCCTTTATCCTTCATACTTTACCATGTACCCTCTACCACTACCCCTAACCTCTACCATCTATCCCTTCCCTGTATCCTTCATACTCTATCCTCTACCCTCTACCCCTACCCCTTACCTCTACTCTCTATCCCTTCATTGTATCCTTCATACTCTACCCTGCACCCTCTACCACTACCCCTAACCTCTACCCCATCCATTCCCTGTATCCTTCGTACTTTACCATGTACCCTGTACCCCTACCCCTAACCATTCACTCTCTATCACTTCCCTGTATCTTTCATACTCTACCCAGTACCCTCTACCCTTAACTTTTACCCCTATCCCTTCCCTGTATCCTTCATACTCTACCCTGTACCACTACCCCTAACCCCTACCTTCTATCCCTTCCTTGTATCCTTCATACTCTACCCTGCACCCTCTACCACTACCACTACCCTCTACCCCATCCCTTCCCTGTATCCTTCATACTCTACCCTGTACCCCTACCCCTAACCCCTACCCTCTATCCCTTCCTTGTATCCTTCATACTCTACCCTGTACCCTCTACCACTACCACTAGCCTCTACCCCATCCCTTCTCTGTATCCTTCATACTCTATCCTGTACCCTCTACCCCTACCCCTTACCTCTACTCTCTATCCCTTCATTGTATCCTTCATACTCTACCCTGCACCCTCTACCAATAACCTCTACCTCTATCCCTTCCCTGTATCCTTCATACTCTACCCTGTACCCTGTACCCCTACCCCTAACCTCTACTCTCTATCCCTTCCCTGTATCCTTCATACTCTACCCTGTACCCTCTACCCCTACCCCAAACCTCTATTCTCTATCCATTCCCTGTATCCTTCATACTCTACCCTGTACCCTGTACCCCTACCACTAACCCTACCTCTATCCCTTCCCTGTATCCATACCTACCCTGTCCCTTACCCTACCCTATCCCTTCCCTTACCATTCTACCCCTACCCTGTACCTCTATCCCTTCTCTACCCCTAACTCTACCCTGTACCCCTACCCCTAACCCCTACCCTCTATCCCTTCCTTGTATCCTTCATACTCTACCCTGTACCCCTACCCCTAACCTCTACTCTCTATCCATTCCCTGTATCTTTCATACTCTACCCTGTACCCTCTACCCCTAACCCCTCTATCCTTCCCTGTATCCTTCATCCCTTCCCTACCCCTAACCCCTACCCTTCATACTCTACCTTGTACCCTCTACCCCTAACCCTGAACTCTACCCCTATCCCTTCCTTGTATCCTTCATACTCTACCCTGTACCCTACCACTACCCCTACCCCTACCCCTAACCTTTTACCCTGTACTCTACCCCTCCTATCCCTTCCCTGTATCCTTCATACTCTACGCTGTACCCTCTACCACTATCCCTAACCTCTACCCCTATCCCTTCCCTGTATCTTTCATACTCTACCCTGTACCCTCTACCCTTAACTTATACCCCTATCCCTTCCCTGTATCCTTCATACTCTACCCTGTACCCTCTACCCCTACCCCCAACCTCTACCCCTATCCCTTCCCTGTATTCTTCATACTCTACCTTGTACCCTCTACCCAAAACCCTAATCTCTACCCCTATCCCTTCCTTGTATCCTTCATACTCTACCCTGTACCCTATACCCCTACTCCTAAACTTTGCTCTCTATCCCTTCCCTTTATCCTTCATACTTTACCATGTATCCTCTACCCCTACCCCTAACCTCTATCCCTATCCCTTCCCTGTATCCTTCACACTCTATCCTGTACCCTCTACCCCTACCCCTTACCTCTACTCTCTATCCCTTCCCTGTATCTTTCATACTCTACCCTATACCCTGTACCCCTACCCCTAACTTCTACCCTCTATCCCTTCCTTGCATCCTTCCTACTCTACCCTCTACCCTCTACCCCCAACCTCTACCCCTATCCCTTCCCTGTATTCTTCATACTCTACCTTGTACCCTCTACCCAAACCCTAACCTGTACCCTATCCCTTCCCTGTATCCTTCATACTCTACCCTGTACTTCCCTACCCCTACCTCTACCCTTCTACCTTCATACTCTACCCTGTACCCTGTGCCCCTACCCCTAACCTCTACTCTCTATCCATTCCCTGTATCCTTCAAACTCTACCCTGTACCCCTACCCCTAACCTTTTACTCTCTATCCCTTCCCTGTATCTTTCATACTCTACCATGTACCCTCTACCCCTAACCCTGAACTCTATTGTACTGTACCCTTCCCTGTATCCTTGACCTACTCTATCCCTTCATCCTCATACTCTACCCTGTACCCTCTACCCCCAACCTCTACCCCATCCCTTCCCTGTATCCTTCGTACTCTACCCTGTACCCCTACCCCTAACCCTACCCTCTATCCCTTCCCTGTATCCTTCCCTGTACCCTTACCCTACCCTCTACCCCTATCCCTTCCCCTTCTACCCCTGTACCCCTACCCCTCTAACCTTTACTCTTTATCCCTTCCTTGTATCCTTCATACTTTACCATGTACCCTCTACCCTTAACTTATACCTCTATCCCTTCATTGTATCCTTCATACTCTACCCTGCACCCTCTACCACTACCCCTAACCTCTACCCCATCCCTTCCCTGTATCCTTCGTACTCTACCCTGTACCCTGTACCCCTACCCCTAACCTTTTACTCTCTATCCCTTCCCTGTATCTTTCATACTCTACCCTGTACCCTCTACCCTTAACCTCTACCCCTATCCCTTCCCTGTATCCTTCATACTCTACCTTGTACCCTCTACCCCTAACCCTGAACTCTACCCCTATCCCTTCCTTGTATCCTTCATACTCTACCCTGTACCCCTAACCTCTACCCTAACCTCTTCCATCTATCCCTTCCCTGTATCCTTCATACTCTATCCTCTACCCTCTACCCCTACCCTTCTTGTATCCTTCTACTCTCTCTATCACTTCCCTGTATCTTTCATACTCTACCCTGTACCCTCTACCCCCAACCTCTACCCCATCCCTTCCCTGTATCCTTCGTACTCTACCCTGTACCCCTACCCCTAACCTTTTACTCTCTATCCCTTCCCTGTATCTTTCATACTCTACCCTGTCCCTTCAAACCCTAATCCTAGCATCTACCCCTATCCCTTCCCTGTATTCTTCATACTCTACCTGGTACCCTCTACCCCTTACCCTAAACTCTACCCTTATCCCTTCCTTCCCTGTACCCTCTACCCTACTACTAACCCCCTTCCCTGTATCCTTCATACTCTACCCTGTACCCTGTGCCCCTACCCCTAACCTTTACCTCTATCCCTTCCCTGCATCCTTCATACTCTACCCTGTACCCTCTACCCCTATCCCTAACCTCTACCCCTATCCCTTCCCTGTATTCTTCATACTCTACCTGGTACCCTCTACCCCTTACCCTAAACTCTACCCTTATCCCTTCCTTGTATCCTTCATACTTTACCATGTACCCTCTACCCCTACCCCTAACTACCATACTACCCTGTACCCTCTACCCCTACCCCTCTCTACCCCTCCCTTCCCTGTATCCTTCATACTCTACTCTGTACCCTCCACCACTACCACTAGCCTCTACCCCATCCCTTCTCTGTATCCTTCATACTCTATCCTGTACCCTCTACCCCTACCCCTAACCTCTATCCCTATCCCTTCCCTGTATCTTTCATACTCTACCCTGTACCCTCAACATCTACCCCTAAAATCTACTCTCTATCCCTTCCCTGTATCCTTCAATCTCTACCCTGCACCCTCTTCCCTTACCCCTAACCTCTACCCTCTATCCCTTCCCTGTATCCTTCAATCTCTATCCTGCACCCTCTTCCCTTACCCCTAACCTCTACC